GAATTCCACCTCCAACTAACCTACTTCAGTAGCTACGTAGAGGTAACTTTAAGACCAGAAGGTCCCGAAGAAATGTGCTCAACTTTTTGGCTAAGCTCTGGTACTATCTTCGGTCTCAAGCTTATCGATGCACCCCTAAAAAACACGAGAAAATCCACGAGCCCCTCATTTTACCTGTCAAACATTCATAGCGAATCAAAACAAACATTGTGTAGTACGTTAATCGATTTGCTTGGGACCAATAGGCAAGTCAAGTAGTGAGCCAATTTAAAATCGTTAGTTTCGTATTGATTGTTGGTAGCTAGTTCACTACAAATAACTACAATTTAATTAAACGATAGGTATATTAATAAATTTAGGCAATTGAAATAATTTAGCTGTAAAACGTTTTTTAGATGGTTTGGAATAGTATCTTGTTTTCCTCTTTTTTTCTCGTTCATACTCCGACCTATCTAAGGTTTGGTTCAACGGAACTGTGAGTTCACAGTTCCGTTGAACCAAACCTGATGTATGTCATTTCTGACAGCGACCGTTACCGTAGCTCTCTGAATCCCCCACAGGGTTGTCACTGGGCTTGGCGGTACAGGGATATCCCGATATTCCGAACAGCCATGATCCATAAATTAGACGTATATTATTCACGTTTTGGACACTGTTTTATTAATTTTGATCCATAAACCATGAAAAATTGCTCCATTACTACTTAACTACTTAGATTTACTGTCCTGCCGTGTTTTTAGGTAGATGTGCGAGCGATGGTCTAGCGTCTAGAATTAGCTTCCAAAAGAAGCTTCTATAATAATCTTCTTAAGAAAAAATGTAAAAAAAATGTTAATTTTATGGATCATACCTAGGGTAGGTGTTCCAGTTGTTGGTAGACGTGCTTATTTTGGTGTGTCCCAATTATAGTCTATATCTCGGTCTATATACATATGTTTTTTAATTTGATCAAAATAAACCTTGGAAAATTGCTACATTACTGCGTAGCTACTCAGATTTACTGTTCTGCCCGTATTTTTTTTGTCAGAAGAGCAGAACGATGGGCGAGCGTCTAGAATAAGCTTCTTAAAAGGTTTCTAAATGAAGCTTCCATAGGAAACGTCTTAAGAATATTATTATAGAATCTTCTTTTGAAAGGTAATTCTAGACGCTTGCCCGTCGCTTCGCACATCTACCTTAAATACACGGGTAGGACAGTAAATCTAAGTAGATAAGCAGTGGAGCAATTTTTCAAGGTTTATGGATCAAAATTTAAAAAAATAGTGTCCTAAACATGAATAATATACGTCTAATTTATGGATCATGCCTATATTTTTAAGTGTGCAAACTTGATTTTTTATGGATCACTTTTTTTAGTTTAAGGTTCATTGCTGAATGTTTTATGAATCAATTGCAATATGTTTATGGGTAATTCGTACAATTCCAATGCTCATTATTTAAAAAATTAGTGGTACATTTTTACAATTGTGTTGCTAAATTTCACATAAAATATTGATAATATTGATATTTTTTATGGATCATCCACACTTTTTTAGGGATTTTCTCCGATGTTTTATGGATCATTTGGATGTTTTTAATGGAACGTTTTTCAATATTTTATGGATCGTTTTATCAATTCTAAAGGTGCAAACTTAGGGCTGCCGTTTTCTTCCTTGATTTGTCTTGTTGTCGTGCTGAGCACCAATGCTACCGACGCCAGGGAGGCAGCTCCCACACATGGATCCTACCTATCGACCCATCAACTCATGAACCGGGGACCAACGGCTTTACTTCCCATACTTGGCGTGATCAAAGATGTTATGCCTCAGAACATCCCGGCGGCGCTGACTGGGATTGAACCCAGGCCTGCTGAGGTGAGAGGTAATCACGCTTATCACTACACCACCGGCGCCGCTAGCTTAGCAATTATTCACATTTTTGCTGAAATTTGGTCATTTTGGAAATTGTTAAATGTTCAAAATGGCATCCTTGAAATTTTTCCGAAAATGGTAGCATGGAAACGGCATTTCTGATCGAAATATCGTTTGAGAAAAACAATGTCTTTCTGGGAAAAATAAACGAAAATGTTTTTTTTTTTAATTTTTCCTTTAAAATAAAAATTAAAAACCCAAATAACTCACCCAATTTTTGAAAAGAAAAAAAATCGAATAAAGTTTATTAAAAATAGATTGTTTTAAACCAAGGACACTTGCAAACTGTCAAGAATCGTAGAACAAGCACTTATGGTCTCAAACATTGTTTTTATCAAGAGTTCCACGCTTACATGCTCAAATTCTTTAGATTTCGATGAGACAATGACTTCCGAATTAAAATATGATGAAATTACGATAAGAACTCCACCACCTGACATTCTTTGAGATAAAACAAAATCGCGGTCATCTTTGAAAGCATTATAATCACTACCAAAAATTTCCTCACTTTTAATGGAATCATTCCTACTTGTTTCAGTTCCCATTGTAACCGAAAAAGAAGGTGATGATGATGGTCCCACCTCTTACCCATACAAAGGTATGAGCTGGACGATTTATCTTTAATATAGTTAAATATGGCATTTTTACCAGGTTAGCAAACAAAATCGATCTGGTTACAGTTAAAGATATAAATTCCCTCTAGAGTTTACAGTTGCTTCACACCGATATAAATGTGGAAAAGCTCAGGCGTGCCCCTCTTAGTTTGCCTTTTTGTCTACCTAAAATATTCATAAGTTTTACAAGCAATCAAGATTAATGAACAATCAACAAAGCATCCTATTACACTAGCAATCTGATGCTATGATAATTTTCGAAAAGGTCTGGAATGCTCACAAACCCCCAACATTTGCTAGAAAACTTACTACTAACTCAAGGTATCTTCCAAATAAGCTTCAAAATTGCATTTTTTAATCAAACTTTAAATTCAGTCCTCTATATCCGTAATAAGCGCGCGAGACCTTTGTAGACTACTTTTTTAAAATCTACTACTATTAAATCAAATATTAAAAATCCATCATCACCATCGTCGCAAACAGAAATAGTTTTTGCAGTGAGGCTGCAATAATTATTAAAAAGTCGTCATTACAGCTATCCATATAAAATAATCCATTAGAGATAACTTCGTCAAGATACATAATTTGTAGATTCATAAAAAAATCACTGGATAACAGTTCAATAGACAGTTTTAACGTGTGAAATGCAGTGTTTTTTTTTAATTCTGTTAGTGTTGCTGAACGTTTGATATGTCTAGGCATCGAATTGAAAACATTTATTCCTTTATAATGTAATGAATTTTGTGAAGCACAAGTTAAGAAATGTGGTGTTCTTATTTCAACCGCGTTTCTAGTACAGGGTGCGTGACGAATTTTTGCAGTAAATGGCATATTTGAGAAAAAATACACCAGTTAGTTATTCTAGCAATGCATTTTGTGCGATTTATTTTCTTTCGCAACATATGGAAGTTGTAAGTAAATTTATTCAAAAAACATTGCCTTCCCTTTCGACGACTGTAGTTAGACGCTTCCGGAAACTGTAGTATGCACGTTTTAAAATGTTTCGATCCATAGATGTCATCACTGCCTTGATTTTAGCTTTTAGCGACTTAAGTGTGGTGTGAGGGGTTCTATTGGTATCCCGTTGGACGACGCCCTATACAAAATAATCCAACGGATTGATATCGGGACTGCTTGGGGGCCAAATTTCTTCCTCCCAAATTTACGAAATATTTTCCGTAAGCCATTTCTGTGCTTTATTAGCAGTATGAGCAGGTGGCTCCGTCTTATCATTTTCCCAAGATTTTTTTTAATTTTATACACTGTTATTTCAGACACATTTACCGACCGAATTATTTCTTTCATGCATACTCCGGCGCGCAACAAAGCGACAACGGCTGACAGATTGCTCTCTTGTTTCGACATCTTTACGTTTACTCAACTTTGTTTGTTTAAATCTTACACCTAACAGTATAAGCTATCCAGTGCTGCCAAATATATCTAAATCATGATGCACAAGCATGAGAAATTACAATTTGAAATTTACTGCAAAAATTCGTCACGCATCCTGTATTATATCTATGAAAGTCACTTCCTCTTTCAATTCGATCATACACATATCGAGGCAGCAAACCGTTAACTTCTTTAAAAATGAACACCATAGTTAAATATACAATTCTTTGCTTCACCGACAACCATTGTAAGGCGTCTAGCATCAAAGTTGAGGAAGTGAATCTATTACATCTCAAAATCAAACGCATTATTTTTTTTCTGCAAGCGCTGTAATCTCGATATTTGTGTTGCATTGGCCAAAAATGAAAGCTGTATTTTGCTGGCAATAGTTGAATCGTTTTTCAATTGACATAGAATTCCATACTTCTTGGCAATTTTCTTGATGACATTGTCAATGTGAGAGTTGAACTTAAGTTTGTCGTCAATAATCACGCTCAATATATTCTCAATATATACTGCTCAATATATAGAACTGCCTATACTGACTGATATGCTACTAAGGACAATTGCTAGTCGTGGTAGAACTAGTGTATTGAACGATTTGAACTCCAGTGCGGTTTTGGAGATCCTAGAATCATGGACCTTGGTATACGATAGAATTGGATGTGAATATACTCCGGAAAAGTTTTGCCATTGTCCAGGTCGTACTTGATCTAGTAGGTCATTTTATCTTAACTCAAAGCTGATTTGAAGTACCTAGAACATCTTATATGTATACTAATTCAATGTTGTCGATGCGCATTTACTCTATGAGCCAAGCTTTGTCCCTAAAGACATCGCAATGAGAATGAATGTTGAATGATTAATCTAGATTTTACGACCATCATTGGGCACACATCGTTGGACCAGTGCACTTGTCTGTTAGAAATGCAGTCAAGGATTAACACTTCAGGATAGTGGTAATATGTCTTGCTTTGTTTGTGTCATTTTTGATAAAAGTGCTAGCCCGTATTCAAAATGTAAAAAAAAAACATATTTCCCAAAAGTCATGTCCAATTAACTTCAAGAATCTATTGTTATGTACCTGACAATTCAGCCAAAACTGATGTGGAAGCCTTGAACCGCCACAATCTGTGCAACTGCCACCAGCCCTGACGTTTAGCGTCACTTCTGTTGATATTGCACCAATTGCAATCAGCCACCGGCTGTGTCAGGAACGCCGCCACAGACACAGCGATTACACATATGTGGTTCTTCGAAATTTGATTGAAATTTTACCGAAGCACTTTTCCGATTGCCGCGCAATATTACCGAAAAATAGCTTGTAATTGCGCTCAAAGTGATTGATATCTCGTCTGAAAGGCTTCACCAACAAACACGCAAAACAGGGTTTTTTTCCTCCAATATCGCTCAAGATCGTTGATTGGTTCCTTCGGCAAGCGGTTCGAAACGTTGTTGATGGATGTTTGCAGGTAATTTTCGTGCACTTGTACCACGGTTATTAAATATTTCACACCTCACAGTTCGATTTCCATATGCATGCTGCTCTGGGGGAAAACACGTAAAGAAATTGCTACTTTTGTATTTTTTTTTCTCTCTCGCAGACTTTTGCTCAAGCCCACCAGTCAATTCAATGTATAACTGCCGAAACGCACACCAGAAATTGTGTGCAGTTGAGAAAGAGACGACGCCAAAGAAAGACGCCGGTTGCAATGGAGTAATTATGCTGCACTGGGCGCCTCGTGCAATGATGATCCTTCGCCACTTTATGTATCAAAGATTTTGTTTTGAATATCGCGAAACGACACACGGTTTTCGTATGTTGGCGCGCCCAAAACCGCGTGCGACGGGAATATCTGCGAGCGACCGAACACGTTGAGCGATGAGCGAGCACTAACCGGAGAGGCCGTTGCCAATCTAGCTGCTACCTGGTAGCTGGCGTTGAACCTAGAAGGCTTCTTCAATTCCAGCGTGCTTGCAACAACTGTCGCCTCTAGAGCCGATTCGAAGTCTGTGCTTGTGTGGATATATGGTATAGTGACCGAATGGAAGCGGACGGTATAATAGCTGCCATAAAATAAAAACGATCAGTTGAAGGCGTCTTGAAAGCTGTTCCATCGCAAAGCTTTTCAGTAGAAATATACTTGTACTCAATGTTTCGAGCAAGTTTCAAGCAAAGTACGTAGCTGAGGAGTTGAAATCATTCGAAGAATTTCAATGATTATAGTTTAAATGTCCAAATTTCGTGCATCTGCCTTGCCTTGGGACCAGCTATTATTTTTATTGATTTCATTGATATCTCTGTCAGAGCTTCATCGCAACGAGCCCCTGGGTCTGCCTGAGATTCCAAACTAGTGCATGGTGAAGGATTTTTTTCCTTCACACAAAACAAATTTCTCTTACATCCAATGTAATGTAAGGTTGGATTTATTACATTTTCTGCATATGTAGATTTTTTTTTTTAAATTACCGAACAGGTTTGGGTCGAAGGCTCTTCGATTTCTATGAAACTTCTCAAATAACAATCTAAATGCTTGGAAAATTTATTCTTATTTTATCATTGTTTTAACATAGCGTCCATTGCAGCCTATGATTAAAATATGGTTTTATGTGGTTGTTATAAAATTAGGCTGACAAGTAGTCTTTAAAACTATTACCAATATCAATAAAAGAAAAGTAAAGAAGAATATTCGGTAAATAATGGATTAATCAACGCAAAAAAACATTCATTCCAGATGCCGAGAACACAGAGCTGGAAAAAAAAAACGATACCTTCAGGACTGACGTTGGCACTGATGTGGACGCACATAAACAAATCGATTCATATTTAAGAAATTAAAACCCCTTCAGTGCTTTTGAACACGATGAATATGAGACGATCGCCAATATGAAACTCCTGGAGGATCTACAGTTATGGGGTCTCTCAAATAACATAAGGCACAGTACGGTGAAGGAGCTCTTAAAAATATTGAAAAGGTGGCTTTCCGATATACTTCTGAAAAATCCACGAACACTTCTTAAAACTACACAGACAGTTTCCGGTTGGAAATGGCCAGTATTGGCATCACAGCTTTAAACCTTGTATTGAAAATGCTTTTCGTGGAATGGGGAGCCAATGAGCATAATTAGCCAAGAGAAAATAGGAGGATCGCTTAGAATGTTGATTTTTTGACAGGTTGCCAAGGTTTTTGTTTTATTTTAATTCGCTGTACCTAATAAAACCAGCAAGCTAGCTTTAGAGCTAACATACATGTTAACGCGCTCAAGTTGGACTAGGAAATGCTAAGATACAACCAATAGTTTTATGTTATGCTTTAGAATTCCAACCTACACTCATAAAAAAATAACACGTCACTCACATGTGTTTCACTTCTAAATTTGCGCAATTTGGCAAACACATCAATTTCAAGTGTGAATGTTTTGAAATAAACTATTTCTTATCACTATAAAAACGCTTGCGACACACACGGATTCCATATGTCCCGGTTGTTGACTTAAAAAATCTGACACATAATTTTCAATCGCTCTACACTTGTAAGTGTGATGTCAATCATATCGGATTAGTATGTCATGTTTATTGGGTTTTAATTATTTATCACACAAATTTGTTAGACAAATTTCAATTTTATTTAAAAAATTTACATTTTAATATTGTATTGCTGCTTTCCCCAGCTCGACCTCGATGCCAGTCATCCTGTACAGGAGCCATTCGTGACCCAATTAAAGTAAAGAGGTTTACTGTAAGGATAGTACTGAAAAGAGAATGCTGATAAGATTTTAATGCTATTGGCAGTACAATAGAAGTTACTCACCTTTTCGATTAAGTTTCTAGTTCGATAGACATGGCTCCCAGAATATCCTCCAGAATCAATCCCTCAGAAGAGAATCCACGTACTACTCCATCACTGCAAACAATCCGAAAATAAATCAGATAAAATAATTTCATGCATATCATATACCTCTCCTTGTCAATCCACACTTCACTGAACCTATCAACTCGAAACACCGGGCCACGGGTGTATAATCATCTTCCTTTACCACTGTTTTTTTTTCGGTTTGTAATGATCTCCTTCGGAAATTTTATCTAGCATGAAAATCACTCTTGGCCCTGCTATCCACGAAACAGGTTCTTCGAGCATAATCTTCGGGAATTGTATAATTTGCATACGGTGCAGCTGTTTCCCATGGCAACGCCATTTTTACTTGATTTAGGATGAAGTTGACAGGTGGAAAAAAATTTATTCCTGTTTACCTTTGAGAAACAAGTAATTCGCATCGTATTGAAATGCTAATCACTTGAAAGCGATTTGTTTTGAACAGTGGTGTGGTTTCATAAGTTATTCAATTGGATTCAACGTGAAATACACTTGAATTGATGGAGTAGGATTTTTCATCAACCCAAAGTGTAAAGCACTAAAACAACACTTTGATCCAATGTGGAAATCCTTGAAAATCAATGTGGATGTGCATTTGAAAAATCAAGAGTTCAAACATTTGAATCAGACGTGTACATTTTTTTTGAGTGTAGAAGAATACGTTATATTGGGGCATTTTTAAGGAGCGGCAAGTTATAACGAAAAAAAAAAAATAATTGATAGGCGATAAAATACTTTCATATCACTCCACTGCGTCCTAGCAAGAAGTACGGTCGACTTAGTTCGCGCTCCGCTATTTTGGAAGTTTTCTCGATATTCACTTGATTTAAATTATCAGTTTTTCTCGCTTAGTGTTTCCTGACATAGTTCCCAGTTAAACAATTAACTAAAAGTGAGTTTTTTTCTGAGAAGAAAGTGTGTTTTCGGCATCATCGGAAGGAAAATTGTTTTGGCGATTGCCAATTCGCCAACCATTTTGCGCACCATCGGTGCGTGGTAACGCATACCTGCACACGGATCATCGTCATCGAGTGTCAGCATCTGCCTCCGCATTTACACCGCTCATCTATCATCGTGTGTTCAGCTGAGTGCCGACCCTCATACAAGCACACACCAACGAAGACCGCCCGCACACGCTGATCGAAGATCATCCACGCTGCGCGTCGCTCCGCTGCTGCTGTTTAAACGCTCGGTGGTAGTAGTATAGGATTATCAGATAAGTTTTTGTTCTTGTTTCTCTCTTTCGCCCATCTGTTAAATTTTAAGTTTGTGTTCTGTGTTTGTAGTTTTTTTTTGTGTATTGTGTCCGAGTGATTATCGTTTCAGTGGTAGAGCGTTTTTCGCTCCCACTAGTACGGTAAAATGGACATTTTGTCGCAAGACGAAATGGACGTTTTGTCGGAAGATGACACCACTTTGCCACGCGATGGCAAGAAGGGTCGAAAACGTACGTCATCTCAGAAGAAAGATGATGTCATCCCTGGTTCATCGTCTCAGTCTGGCAAAGGACAGGCTCAGATAAACCCCCGATCGCGAGCCTATCCAGATGACTCGACTGGCCCATGGGTTGTTTACTTTCAGCCCAGAAACAAACCTTTGAATGTAATGCAAATTACGAATGATCTGACGAAGCGATACTCGGCCGTGACTGAAATCACGAAGGTTAGGCACAATAAACTTCGTGTCTCCGTCTCTAGCCTGAAGCAGGCTAACGAGATTGCTGCCTCCCAGCTCTTCACGCTCGAGTATAGAGTTTACATCCCAGCTCGTGATGTGGAGATCGAAGGTGTGGTCACCGAAGCGAGTCTGACCCCCGAGATCTTGGAGAAGCAGGCGGTTGGCCGTTTCAAGAACCGTTTGCTTCCCCCGGTGAAGATACTGGATGTCCAAAAACTGGGCTCAGTATCTGTCAGCGAGGGTAAAAAGAGTTTTACCCCCACAGACTCGTTCCGTGTGACCTTTTCTGGTTCAGCCCTTCCTCACTACATCGAGCTGGGAAAACTTCGACTACCTGTGCGCTTGTTCGTTCCCCGGGTCATGAACTGCCAAAACTGTAAGCAGTTGGGACATACGGCGTCCCACTGTGGCAGCAAGGCACGCTGTTCCAAATGCGGGGAGAAGCACGAGGATGGCGCCTGCACAGTCACTGCACCAAAATGCGTGTACTGTAAGGGAACTCCTCATGGTATCTCGTCATGCCCGGTGTACAAACAACGCGGGGAGAAATTACAACGCTCACTTAAGGAACGTTCCCGGCAGTCTTTTGCAGAAATGCTTAAGACGGCCACGCCATCGACCAACGACAAAAATCCCTTTTCTCTTTTGTCAGATGACGAGACTGACTCTGACTTGGCTGAGGAGGGAACTTCTTTCCTTTTTTCAGCACGGAAACGAAAACGCATCCGTTCGCGGAAAGTTGAGAATGAAGAACCTCAAATCAGCTTGCCCAAATCAAGGAGTGGTGGAAAAAAGGAAGTTTCTACTCCTCCTGGATTCAGAAGAACTGACTATACCCAGGATTTTCCACCTCTCCCGGGGACATCCAAAACCCCTGATGTCCCATTTTTAAGAACAGAAGCCCCTTCTTCATCTGGGTTGTTCTCATTTGATAAAATTGTGGACGATATCCTCAAGTACCTGAATATTTCTGATCCTCTGAAAAGCATTGTTCTGGCAATGCTTCCTACTGTGAAGACCCTCTTAAAGCAATTGACGTTGAAATGGCCCCTCCTTGCAGCAATCATTTCCTTCGATGGATAATTTTCCAAACGAGGTCGGGGATTTGATCACTATTCTACAGTGGAATTGTCGAAGTCTTATTCCTAAATTAGACTCTTTTAAGTTTTTAGTTCACAATAATGATTGTGATGCATTTGCTCTTTGTGAAACTTGGCTCTCTTCAGATATTGATCTTCCTTTTTATGATTTTAACATTATTCGACTGGATCGTGAGGATTCGCGTGGAGGAGGGGTACTTTTGGGGATCAAAAAGTGCCATTCCTTCTATAGAGTGAATCTTCCACAATT